ACACAGCCGCCTCGTATAGACTTCAAGAGAACCACACACTTCACCGTCCTCAGAGCATCTCCGCACAAGATGTGGACACATATTTGCCACATTGTGAAGACTTAAATCTGCACACGCTCACATCATGGGGACCTGCCTCCTTTAGGTGCTCATGAAGTAAATCCTGCCTCGTATTATTTGATCAGCAACGTGGTTTAAAGTTCAGGTATGTGTTAAAATAAAGGTTAGGGTTCGGTTTAGGCCAGGGTTTAGGTTAGGATTAGTGTTTAGGTTAAAGTTAGGGTTTGGGTTAAGGTCAGGGTTTAGGTTATGGTTTAAGTTAAGCAAGTAGTGACTTAGTGGTTAAGGTTAGGATCGTGCTGGATATTATCAGGCAGTTGCAGATTTGATACTTTGACTCAGAGACAGCAATACGATATGTGTGAGATACAGTGCACTTTCCATTGGTTATGATTTGATATCATAGATTTCAAACCAATTCAAAACAGTTCAGTAAAAAATAAAAATATATATATATATATATATATATATAATAATTCACACAAACACACAGAGACATGAATGGTGCATTTGTTTTCCATTTATTACCTGGTCCCCGAAGGGTTGACCAGGTTTTGTATTCACCTTTTGTGTGTGTGTGTGTGTCTGTCAACCCATGATAATTCCACCATTCATGGACCGATTGTCACCAAATGTGGTCAATCCCCCGTGTCCAATGCCGCAAAAAAAGTTTGGTGTCAATCCAAGGTCATTTGAGGTCACACGAGTCATTTGAAAGGTCACACCATTATAAAGGATCAGCAATTTCTGAACCATCTGCAGCCTAAAATATTCACCCAATCATCACACAAGTTGGCACACACATAACCGGGGCACACTGGATGTTACAGGTTGAAACCGGTCAAGGTCACTTGAAGGTCAAGATAACCAAGGTCAAATATGTATTTTTGGTCATAACTCTGCGAAGGATGGAGCTCGAGCAACAGGAGTGTCTCAAAATCTCAGAAAAATGATTATCTATTTATAATTCTATACATTTGTATAGTCAAATATTCATAGTTTTCGAGATGATCACTAAATATAACAGTTCTTTCTCTTTCAGTGTAGCCGTTAAAATTCTAATTGGAACCAAAATAATTTCCATTTGTTGTTTTTCTGGTGAAACACAACACACTGATCTACAGTCACACAACTAACATACACACAACTCATGAACAATGACATTTTGGTTCCACACAAGTAAACACCGACATTCTCATGTGTGACCAACATCACACTAATGTTCATGGGCCTGTACACATACACACATTACATTGTGAATATAATGATCATGTCATATGGGCTGAGCTCCTCATAAACTGCTTCTGTGGTGATGAACTGACCCACCGACGCCTCATGGGACCAGGTTGATATCTCTGATTGGGCTTGTTGAACATGAATGATCATAACAAAGTGATTTTAATTTAGTGCCTGTGACTGCAGAAGGACACAAACACTGGTCAGTGGTTCATCCACAGCTTCTACTGCTCCACATTTACACTACCAGTCAAAAGTTTTAGAACTCCACACTTTTTCCAGTTTCTTGCTGTTTATTGTGTCATTGCATTGTGAAATGATAGAATAGAAATGTGCTTTTCTGTAGTTTACAATGTATATGTAGTATATAAGATTGTTGTTTCGCTCTTGGCACAAACTTGAAATAAAAACAAATTAATCAATCAATCAATAAATAAATAAGCAATTTGAGTTGAAAAATAAATCATAGAATCAATTTATCGACCAAAACATATTATAAACTTTTGATTCATGAAAGTGTCCACCTTTGGCAGATAGAACAGCTGAACACACTCCTGGCTTGTTATTTTTACAACAGAAATATTGTTCAGAAAGTTTTTCCCAAGTCTGTTACAGAAGTTCCATAAATGTGTGGCACTTGTAGGTTACTTCACTCTTCTGAAGGGTTCATCCCAAACCAGCTCCACGGGGTTTAAGTCTGGACACTTACCATCAAGCTTCATCATCTTCTTCTTTTTTCCTGAGGTAGTTTTGGCAAAGATTGGACTTGTGTTTTGTTCTTTTATCTTTTTTTTTAACCTCTGTCTGTTCAGTTCTTACGTTTGTACCATTTCAAGCGATTCTTTGGACTTGCATGACTTGAACTGCAATAAATAGCTGAAAAAAATGAGGGTGTTCTAAAGCGTTTGACTGGAAGTGTACTTGTACAAGGGACATGTGCAGTTTGAAGCCTCTAAAGAACCACCACAGAACTACTCAATCATGTGATACTGAAAGTCTGTGTCAAATCATGACCTGAGCAAAGTGAATCTGAAACACACCCATTTTAATCATCAAAAACTCATGTATGTAACACATGTAAGATGTGTTGCATAAATGAGATTTCTTCCTCTAAACAAGCAACAAACTTGTGGCGCTGTCACAGAATCATTTGGTAAATATACAAAAAAGTCCTCCTGCTGATTGTGATTCTATTTCAACTCTGTCTTAGTTTTTGCTCAGATTTCATTTATTCAATGTCTAACAGTCAGTGTTGGGAGTAATGTGTTATAAAAGTAATGAATTACTGTAATGCATTGTTTTTTGCTTTAACGCAGTAATGTTACGGGATTACAGGGGAAAACTGTAATATTTTACTCGGAACAAATGTGAGTAAGGCGCGTTACATGTATATGTTTTTTTAACCTGAATTTGAAGTGGTGGGTTTTTCTTTATATAAATTTGCTAAAATTAACGCGATATCAGCAGCGATGAAACGTCGGAGACGTGCCCATGTAGACTTGTCAGGTGACGAAAGGACCGACACAGAACTCCACGCTCCACGGGGCGAAGTGCAGCTGACGCCCAATCGCACCTTGCAAACACCCTGTTCCACAGCCGCGGGGTTCTCTCAGGGGCGGTCCTAGATTACAAGTTCTAGTCCAAGATTAGTCCTGGTTTAGTCCTTGTTTAGACCTAGTTTAGTCCTAGTTCAATCCTTGTTAAACCTAGTTTAGTCCTGGTTCAATCCTTGTTTAGACCTAATTTAGTCCTAGTTCAATCCTTGTTTAGACCTAGTTTAGTCCTGGTTCAATCCTTGTTTAGACCTAGTTTAGTCCTAGTTCAATCCTTGTTTAGACCTAGTTTAGTCCTGGTTCAATCCTTGTTTAGAACTAGTTTAGTCCTGGTTCAGTCCGTCTTCAGTTTTGGTTTAGTCCTAGTTCAGTCCATATCTGGCGCAAAAGTTCAGCATTTGCACAGTTATTTTGGTGAGAGTAACTTAAAAGTAATGTAATATTAATGTAATGTATTTTACATTTTAAATGCAGTAATATTGTAATGCAACAAATGACTTTGAAATGACATTTAAAATGCATTATAGTTTTAAAGTGCCCAGTAGTGCTAACAGTCATGTGTGAGTGAATGTGTGTGAGTGAATGTGTGTGTGTGTGTGTGTGTGTGTGTGTGATTTCAATACTAAGACTTTAAACATCTTTCAGTCTTTGGACCTGGTCAAGCAGAAGTAAACAGCAAGGCCAAAAATTCAAATTAATGCATCTGATATAAAAATGTATTGAACAGATACATATGTACTCTAGTTTATGAAACTGTTGACCTTTTTTCTGTACCATTTTTGGTTCTAAAGTTCCATATGTTTTAAACAGATCATGTATGAAACATGGAACAAAAATTATTTCCCAAATTTCAAAGACCTGCAAATCATGTAAATAAATGGATGTATTTCATCATATCTTGTGTTATTCCATCTTTGAACTGTTGATGAAGGTACAGGATTTAAAAAAAAAAAAAAAAAAAAAGTATTTAAAATGATAAAATTTGGCTTGGAAGGACAGACATATTTTATAGAAATAGTTTCCTTTCATTTTGAAGTAATATTAAAGTATTCAGAAGAAAAAAGCAACAAATGATGTAAAATCCTGCACCTTCTACTTGTTTGCACAATTTTCCCTCCGTTACTTTTCCCTCCGTTACCATGACCTTTCTTAATAAAAAATCTCATGACTCAAAAAGTAAGAGGTTTTTCAACCTAATCTTGTACCATATGGTAGAAAACTATATGAAGCAAATATTCAAACCAGTTTGTTAAGGATATGGAAGTGAGAACCAAGAGTTATCACTGTTTGGATTTATTGCCCAAAAAGTGCTGCATATTTCATTCCCTTCGTTACCGACATGAGTTTTTTAATTTTTTGTCAACAACTTGAAAGAATATCACAGGTTTAACTTGACTCTGTTGGAGTGTAACTCTTTCCTACATTCTGATACTTTACTTATTTCAATAGTCCCTCTAGTTTCTGAATAAGACACATTTGAATGTCAAAAATCTGCCCCTGTTTCCCTCCGTTACCACTTGACCAGACCCCTTTACCAGGGCAGAGACTGAAAACCGCATTTATTTACAAAAACTAAAATAAAATAAAGAGAGAGAATAAGAATAAAATAAGAGAAGTGATGCAAATGTATCGATACAGCAGCAAATGATATCAATACTGTATCATCAACTTTAACAACACAATATATAGATATTTCAATACTTTTGCACTCCTCTGTTTTGGATCAGTCCTCAGAAAGTGAATGTAATGTCCCCAAGAGAGATACATGCCTGAGTGTGTGTGTGTTCTCCTGATCTGATGCTGTGCTCGTCAGCGGCTCTTCACTGGACTTGTGTGTTTCTTGTGTGTGTGTGTGTGTGTGTGTCTTGCATGTGTGTGTGCCGTGTGTGTGTGTGTGTGAGTTCGGATCTGATGTCAGCTGCTCTTCAGGACCACCCCCTCGGCTGTGCCCGCGTCCCGTTTGCTCAGCACATTGTGGAATAAAGATTATTTATATTAGACAGATAAGCACTTCTGTCTGCTTTTGTTGCTTTTATTTATCCCCCAGACTTGTGCAAGCTCAGTCATTTCCTTTGTTGTGTATTGTGGAGAATGTTTGTGAATTAGTGGTGGCAAATTGAAATGCTGTGGTTGTGCTTTTGTTGTGGGCAGGCCCTGTGCGCCATGGACGAGTTCAGGAACTTGGACCGGGACTTGGAGGGCTCGGCCAAGCGCTGGAGGAAGTTTGTGGAGTCGGAGTGTCCGGAGAAGGAGGCGTTTCCTCAAGAGTGGAAGAACAAGACGGAGCTGCAGAAGCTGTGCATGATGAGAGCTCTGAGACCGGACCGCATGACCTACGCTGTCAGGTAACACCACTTAACATACATCACTCTGGGGTATTCTACATGTGTCTTTGGTGGAATGTCCAGCAGTTACCATGGTGACACAAAAAGTTGAAATACAAAAATATGGAAATAACAAGACATTTTCAGGAGCCTGTGATCATTCATGGTCTTGTTTAGGAGTTAGATTTTCAACAAAAGCTCCTGTTGCAGTTCCAGCTCTTTCTGTTAAAAAATAAAGCTCAGATCTAACAAACCTCAGATGGAAGAGTGCTTAAATTTAGCATCACACCCCCAGGGGAATGTTGATGACATAATCTGCAAAGTCTGAATATACAAGCCCACGGTGTAGACTCGAAAAACTGGACGTGGTCACATTTGGTCCCAAACCTGGAGCTGATCTGCCAGACTTTTCTTCTTTTTTTTTTTCTACCTACACATTGCAGAAAAGGTTTAAGATGGAAGTCCTTTGGAAGTTGCTTTTCTATTTATTGGTGAGACACACTACATTCTACACTACATTTTTGTATGTTTAAAAAAAAACTGAACATTTTTGGGACAATTTGTGACATTTGAATCTCAAAATGAAATGGAGCCAGTCAATATTAGATACTAAAAATACACAGAGGGGCTGTTGGATATCTTATTCAGTATTTTAATCTGGCTAAAAATGTGGCTAAAAATGAAAATTCCACCAAATTTTTTGGAGTTAAATCTTGAATAAAATAGACTTGTAACTTGTTAAGAATAATATTTTAAATTTTGTGAGTGTAGGTGCTACTTTAACCCCTTAATGCCTGAATTTATATAGATGTATATAAAAAAAAGTGTTGTGTGTGTTTTTGCCTTTAAGTAGATGGTAAATTAAGTTCAGATTATTAATATGATTGTAGAAAAACAAAACAAAACAAAACAAAAAGCAAGTTATTAGAAATTTGGGGATGTTGCACTTTTGCGACAACTACAAACAAGAAACAAGTGCTGCTAAAGGTTCAATCCAATCCACTTTATTTCTGTCACACATTTCACAAACAAACAGTTTTCAAAGTGCTGCACAAATACATAATAACAACAACAATAATAAAATGATAATATAGCTGCAAGTGGCGATGATCGGCCGTCGCATGCACCTACGCTGCGCCCTGCAAACGCTGCGTCCCACAAGCACTGCACCCTGCAAACACTGCGCCCCACAAACACAGCACCCCGCAAAACACCGCGCCCCACACTAACCATAATAACCCTAAGCTTAAACCTAACCCTGAGTTTTTTAATCGAGACCATGTCACAAATGTGGGTACCAAATTTTGTATATCTATGACAAATAAAACATTATTTTTCCATACAAATTTTGTAGGGGGCGCTATTGCACCCATTTTTCTTAGATCAATGTGTTCATAGTCGGGGTGTGAACCCATGATTAAAATTTGAGTGAAATTGGCCAAAGTTTGTGCGACTGGGTGATTTTACCATTGGAATAACATGGAGAGTTTATGTCATCGCTATGGTAACACCGTAAAAAATATGACATGGGTGTCATTGCCTGAATCAGGATGCCGAAACTAAAGTTTTCTGAAAGCTATACATATACAAGCTATACATTTTCGGAAACCTCTGGTGCATTGCTACGGGATGGCGAGGGTCCCTGGTCACTACGAGCGAGTCACGTTGTGCCATTCCACTTTCGGGCCACTAGGAGCATCGCTTTGCGATACTAATAGGCCCTTCGCCAGCCTCTGGCGCTCAGGCCTAAAAATAAACTACTAAAATAATACTAATCTTAAAATAATAAAACCGGTAAAATAAAATAAAAACTAAATCATAGAATAGAAATAAATAAACCAATAAATAAATTAAATCAAAAACACCAATAAAAACACTGGGGCCAGTCCATTCAAAGCTTTAAAAATAAACAATAAAATCTTAAAATCAATTCCAAAATTAACAGGAAGCCAGTGCAAAGACGCAAGGACTGGGGTAATGTGCTCTCTCCTTTTTATTCCTGTTAAAAGTTGTTAAAGTTTTAAAAAGTTTTAGGCCAGCCAAGCCTTGACGTCAGACAGACAGTGGAGCAGGGGTGTCAGGTTCGAGGAAGGTCCTGCAGTGACACTTGGTGTTAACTGGTTATGAGCAGATAAATGAAAAATGCATTTTGAGAAAAAACACCCTTACAATGTCCCATTTAGTATGGCCCATTTAATACGACTGCAGTTTGAATTTAGAGCAGAGTTGAATAATTTGGTTGTTTCCACATGAAAGTTTATATACTGAGAAACAATTGGAAAAATACTACTACTCACAATAACAATATAAATAATGCACAATACGCATTTGTATTGTTACTGGCTTTAAGCAGCCTCTCGAGTACCTGTGTTTTGGCATTTAATATTTTAGAACTAATTTATTTGAGCATATTATAAATCAAAACTTTCCAAACCCAGTATCAGAATCTGTAGCACATGAACTGATTCTTAAAGGGGGGTTAGCGGGGCCGGTTAAGTCAATATTTTAGAAGAATCGTCCAAGCACCAAATTTGGCAGGGATGTAGCTTATGACATAATATGGCAGCCAAGAGGATCTTAAAGCTCCACCCACTTGCTATGAATGCAATGTGAGTAGTTATTATTACATGATTAACAATGACACAACTGTACCTCTTTTCAAGGACATAAACCAAATGCCAATTAAACTTAACATATATAGATTAGATGATGGATCTGGTATTCAGGCAACACTTACAAAAAAGAATGCCAAATATCATCAAAGTTATCACTTACTCTTCAGTAATAGTAAACTACAACGTGCAAGGAAACGTGCTGCTGATACACACAATGACCTCAGTGAGGATCAACCTAAGGTCAGAAGAAAGTCTAAAAATGAGCAGCATTGTTTCTTGTGTGACAAAAATGCGCCAATTGCAGAACTACGGCAGCAATGACCATGCATTTAAATGATAGGTTAAATGAATGTGCTTGTCATTTTTTTTTATTGTTGGCAAACTCTTTGCTGTATTAAGTGGGGGAGATGTAATCGCACAGGAATTGCACTATCATTTCTCATGCTTAACATCTCTATATAACAGAGAGAAGGCTCACCTCTTGTCAATTAAACACCAAGAAGAACCTAAACATGATGTTGAACCCTTAGTTTTTACAGAGCTTTTGACATACATGACTGAAACTTACAGTTTTATATAGAAATGGTGGCCATCTTGAAAATCAGCTGCCATATTGTTTTTTCTAGGTAGCTAATGTGGTTTTTGTTTATTATCTGGTTTGTAGATACAAACAGTTTAATTTATAGCCCATATTCATAACACAAGGATGATCAAAACAATATCAGTGCTGAGAACTATACTTTTTATATATAAATGATGACCATCTTGAAAATTGGCGGCCATTTTGGGTTTTTTTAGGTGGCGAAGGTGCTTTTCTGAAAGAGGGGGTTCTAAGCTACAGCCATGCCAAATTTGATGCTTGTACGACAAAGTGCACGATTATTTCAGTAATCGGCCCCTCTAGGTGAAAGTAACTAACTCATGAAGATCGCAAAAAGCACGCTACTATTCACATGCATTTTTGAGCACATAAAAAAAAAAACAGGACAGACTTGCATGATTCAATTCCATTAACATATGCGTGCACATGTTTCTGCATATGTGCTTACACTAACATCCAGTCATCCATTATTAAGTTCTGTTAAGCCCCACACGATTATGATGTAGAAATGCATAAATGTGGTGTATTAAAACATTATAATACACATATAATGATTGGGTATAAAATAAGCAGATTTGTCCATAGACTGTGTAATCTGAGCGCACAATGGGCCCTGACACTGAGTGGGACGGGCTTTGTCTGCTCTGCACATTCACACATTATAAACCACCGCGGCTTTTCTATTTGCTCCATTCGTACATGACAACTTGATTGAGTCAGGGCGCGTGACATTGGGAACACACGAGATGTGTAGTCTGATGCTGAAAGATTTGGTAAAAAATGTGAGACATTTCAAAAAACAAAAAACAACAAAAACACAAGACATTCTGAAACCATCAATAATTGGCGACAGCAGCTCAGTTGGCACAGTGCTTGTCCTCTGTTACAAAGGCTGACAGTGTGATTAGCTTTCACAGATGAATACTGCTGTTGTGTCCTTGAGCAAGACACCAACCCCCCCAGTGTCTGCATATACTGGTGTGTGAACATGTGTGTGATTTGTTGATGTTCTGAAGTTCTTTGAGTGCCTTGAAAGTAGAACTGGCCTTATTTGACACCGGCCTCTTGATATTTTTGCAACAACTAGAATTTATTATCAGCATTTATATTTTTACTCTTCGTTATTATATTATATTGTGATGTGTGAGCTACTGCGTCCAAATCATTTTGCTTGTGGATCAATAAAGTTTGTCTAAATGTGATACTGTATATATTTCTAATTTGTCAAACTGTGCACAGACTAATAAGAGCCTGAACTAACTGAGCAGAGCTGGAGAAGAGAAATAAAATGAACCTGTCCATTTGACCCCAGAAGTGTCTGATCCTGACCCGGGCCTGATCAGTACGTAGCTGGGGACAAAGGGATGTTAAAGGGATAGTTCGGATTTTTTGACATAAATCTGTATGTCATCCCCGTCATCAGTGTTGTGCATTCACACCGACTTACCCCCGAAAGCGTCCGGTGAGCCGAGATACTGGCCCGTTTTGGTGCTGAGGAAAGTAGTTGGGCAAGTTGTGTGGGGACTGTATACTAAAGCGTTTTTCTTCTCAAAGCAATATGTGTTCAAAAGAGTGATACATTTGCATCACAAAACCATTGTCGCCAAAAAAGTCAGATCTCATAATCGCTTGGCGCTATTTTCTCTCCGTACGTACCACTGCGCACGGCCGCCAGGTGACAGCCGCGCACCGATCCATCACTTTCTTCAGTTGTTCGGCAGTGTTTACATGCGCAGACCGCCACCACGCGAGAGAGCTAACGAGAGAACTAGAGCCATAAGTATATGAGCTTGTATAAGATACAT